GGGGGGGGGGGGGGGGGGGGGGGGGGGAATACAAAAATACAAATCATAAATATCAAAAGGAAAAATTATTCATTTTTAAAAGGCTCCGATTCAAAATAATTCAAAATAATTTGTAGCGCGGGGTTTTGAAAAAAATTTTTCCTGTGTGATTTGAAGATTTCTTTAAAAAAAGTTGTTTTATAGATTTCAACGATCGAAATAGCAAATGAAAATTTTTCGTTTAATTTCCCTCTAATTTATTTTCCTAATAGTAATTAGTAATTAGCAGAAGTAACTAGAAAAACTACAACGTTTCGTAATTCAAAAGTTTCGAATCGCTAAACATAAACATAGTTAAATTAATTTTGGTAACACCTTTTGGATTTATTAGTATTAATATTATAAAATATAAAGTCGTTGACATTGGTTTATTGGGCTAAATCACGAGTTATGATTCTCCGAACTTAGTTTCCGAAATTTACCCATTTTGTGTCTCTATTTCCATTCTAACCAAAATTTAGCTTATGAATTAAATTTAGCTTACTCATGAATGAAGCAGCAGCAACTCTGACTTTGTTGCAGTCAAAAATTCACATTCACATTTTCAGACCATTTTTCAATTACACTTCTTCATATTTTATTATATAAAATAATGTTAGAAGAAGGGGCCAATAGGCTTCATGAAATGAAAAGAACAGATTAGTAAGCTTCGCCAAACTGCCAAAAGATTCAATGAGCCAAAGAGGCCAAAGGCTTATAACCCAAGCTTATAAAATCTCGGCTGCAGCAGAACTATGTTCAGCAAAAACTTTTTTCATTTCATTTCATTTATATTCTGCAATTTTATTTATGTTGAAATCTATTAACGAGAAAAAGAAAAATATTATGCTGCATGGTAATGAAAAAATATAGGAATAGGCTTAATGCCACATCTGACATAAGGGTTCGATTGTCCGATCGCATACCAAATATCAGAAAAATTTATCACTTAAAGACCCAGAAGCATCAATTTCATTAAAATCTTATTATTCCAATAATATTATTGCATATTTTTTTTCAAATGTTAGTTTTCTCATAATTCTTTAATTTTTAAGTTGGATTAGGTGGAACTGCATTTTTTACTAGTTTTTTCTTTTTGAAATTTTAAATAAATTATATAGCAGACTTATCAGTTTTGCCTTATTTCAAAAAAATTTTATATGTGGACTCACGATTTAAGAACGATTAGAAACAATAAGCATTTCAGGCTTCTTCCATATACAAGTAATATTTCATTTCAAAATAACGATGCCGCGTGTAAATTTTTACCGTCATTAACGAGGAAACAACGAATGCTATGTATCAGAAATCCGTACGTCATCGAACAAATTATTTCCGGTTTAAAGAGCGCCACAAAAGAATGTCAAAATCAGTTTAAGCACAATCTTTGGAACTGCTCAATAGTAGAAAAAGAATTTCTCACAACACAAATCAAAAGTATGCATCAATTTGAAAGGTCTTTAAAGAAGCTTTTGCACTTATGATGGTTTTTGTTGCCTCTTTTTTTGTAAATAGTTTAATCTAGATAATTGCCCTATTTAACTATTCAACTGGTCTGCAGTAGCAACACGTGAAACGGCATACATATTTGCGCTATCATCTGCGACTGTGAGTCGAACAATAGCTCGTGCTTGTTCGGAAGGCAAGATCGCTAGCTGTAGTTGCGGTCAACAGCCGAGACGAATGTCGAAGCAATTCATCTGGGCTGGTTGTTCGCATAACGTTAATTATGCAAACCATTTTGTGCGAAAATTCTTTGATGCTGTCGAACTAGAGAATGCGAACGATGCTCGGTAAATTAAATTAATATTACTCGAACTTCGAACCGCGCAAAAATGCACCTATTAAAGTCGTGTTACAATTGCACCTATTTACAAGGCTTCTTCTTCTTTTGGCCCGTTCCCATGCTTCATTTCTGATTTCTACAAGTGATTGTGGTGGGGTCCATTCGCTGTAGGGAGTGAGAATGATGGTGCAGATGATTTTTCAATAAAATTTGAAATACCATAATTTTTTAAGTATTTTTAAAATGAAGAAAGAAGTAAATGAGAAAAGTAGAGATAATACGATATATGCATAAAATAAAGTAAATTTAAACAGAAATAACCATTATTTTAATAAAGAAATCAATTTGTAATCATAGTTCGATGATGAATTTGCATAATAATCGTGTGGGGCGAGAAATTTTAAAGAAAAATATGCGACGTGAATGTAAATGTCATGGTATAAGTGGTTCATGCGTTATGAAAACATGTTGGAAAGTTGTGGCTGAACTCGAACGTTTAGCCGCAGTTTTGAAGAGGAAATACGCAAATGCTGCTAAGGTTCATATTTTATCAGCAGTTGATAAAAGTTGATAAAACTTAAGGTTGCATATGGTTGCAGATAAAAAATAACCTTTGCTTCTAAATATTGTTTAACCATTTTAGATAATCATGATCACAAACTAAATTCTATAATTTAATTTCACCTGCAAATTGGCTCATTTCTGTAAATATTTTGCAGATTAAAGCAGTTACCGATGGTGATTCGCTAATTCTGAAAACTGAAAGACGTTCAACAGGTCGCACTGGTCGATTCTTGGAATATTCGAGGAAACTGCCAAATAAAAATGAATTAGTTTTTCTTGATGATTCACCAGATTACTGTATAGTTGATGAAAGCAAAGGTGTACGAGGGACTCAGAATCGTGAATGTGGACAAAAATGCGAGAAGTAATTTGCAAATCTCAAAATTCTTTAGGACCATTCTCATTATCTACTGGCTCTTCAACTGCACAATTTTTTGTTATTTATTTAAATATTCGCGTACTTTGAGAAAATTCAGCCTCGCTTTGTAGCCATGAAATTTGCTGTAATGGCAATGGCGATAGGGGAAGAGAGCGGGGATTCTCGTTTTCTCAGCTAGGCTACTTATTATTAGAGAAGAACTGTCCTATAAGACCTGTTCTTACATTAACTTCAGTCGTGAAACAAAAAATATAAAAATTATAAAAATAAAAATTTTATTTGCAGCTTAGTATTATTTTGTAAAATATTTTAGAATTTGCGAATGTTCAGTTTGCATTTTGATTTATCTCTAAGAAATCTAAATTTTTTCGCTACACTGCTTTTTACAATGCAAGACTACAAATTATAGAATTTGTTGTGGACGAGGTTATCGAATTGTTCGATCTACAGTTCATGAACAATGCAATTGTAAATTCATTTGGTGTTGTGAGGTACGATGCGATATTTGTAAAAAAATTGTTTTTCATAATTTCTGTTTCTAAAATTAATGAATTGTGTAAGCAAAATATTTCTTGTAAATAATACGACTGCACTTTTATATGATTTGAACAAATTTTTTCGATTTATTCAGTTCTTTTTCATCGTTATTAGTAGATTTTTTTTCATGGAATTATTTTTTCATGAAAATTCCATCTTTGAAGAATAAATTTTCTATTATTGACAAATTTTTCATAATTCTTATTTTCTTATTTGAATATTCTGGAATTTAGACGAAAAGTTTTTTTATTTAATTTTTTATTTAAGATTTTTATTTAATTTAATTTTGCTAAAAAATTCCATAATATAAATATATTCGGGTTCTATATTCGGGTTTTCCACTGAATAAAATTTTCAAAGCACCTAAAATATTTGAAAAAATTGAGTTCTTCATAATTATATGTTGATACATAATTATAATAATTATTATATACATGATAATACTGATTTAAGTAGTAAAATAGCATAAATTGTTACCGTTGGAAATTTTTGGTTTGTTCCTTTCTTGAGAAATCTCAATTTTAGCAAAACATTATCAATGCAAAAAGAGAGAAATGAATGTCGTAAAGAAAAATTAGCCTCAATTTATTTGCCCTATGAACTGGCAGAATTTTCGCTTTATAATAAATAAAAATAAAATCTTAAAAATAAAGATAAACTCAATTAATTCATATGTATGAAAATATTTTCGAACATGAAAATCAATATAAAAAAGTAAGTGCATACTGAAATCTCAATAAATCGGATATTACTCTAAATATTACCATAGCAAAGATGATTTACTATAAACCACAAATGATTTTACCAGTATATTTGAAATAAGCAAGAGCAATTGGTGGAATCGTTATTTAATTTCCTAATGATCGTCACTTATGCAGTGAAGTGAACCAAAATAGAATTGGTGAGTTTCGCTAGTATAAAAAGCAAAAATATAAAGCAAAATATAAATATAAAGCAAAAGCAAAAATACGAAGAAAAATATTTATGAAGTTCCATTCGTTCCATTCGCATCAAATGTTGCAATACCTAAATCGCATAATAGAGAGATCCAATGAGACAAAGGAAGTCTAATTATAAGCAAACAAAAGGGAGTATATCGCTACTTCCCGACAATTGGCACCCGTAAATTTGATCCACAATTATACTCCATAAAAATTATACCATGTAGATTAATCAACTTTTTAAGGCCTTAAAACTAAATTATGTGATATCTTATAAATGTCATGAATTTAACCACAAAAATATGTTTATTTATTAATCTAAGAATTAACCCTTGACCCTTTTTTATATATGTCGATCTTTATTTATATTTGACCTTTTATACAACTTTGTCACTTTATATTTGAGCTTAATTTTTGATTTGTAATCTTGTGACTACTCACTTCAGTTCATTGTCTCCAAAAATTCTTAAGGCTTTGTTAGTAATATTTAATAACAATAATTGTCAGTAATAACCGCTCTTGCTCATTGATCCCACTATCTAGCTTATCAGTTATCTTATCGTTAAACTTTTATAAGGTGCTCAAATATTAAATTAAATGCGAACTTGTATTTTTAATTATTTGCTTTTAATATCGCTGCAAAATGTTTTCAGTTGGTGGTTAGTTTTCGATTATTGCTCTTTTCAATTTTTCAAAAAAACAAAGAAAGTAATTAATTAAAATTGGATTTTTTTCTTTGTATTCATTATGCAATTTTTGAATAGTAACTTAATAATGGTAAGATTCCGCTTAAACCAACATCCAGTATTCTGTTATCAGTAAATTATCATTGTATTCAATCTTCGATATTTGATTATTATTTGAATATAAGCATATAATAGATAAATTATTTTATAGCCAGAATTTGAGCTCAAATCTTTTCTGAGCTCGTATCTTATGATAGTATTAGGAGAACGGAAATCGTGGATTCAACTTATGATCTGGTTTTTCAAATTCCGACATTATCAAGTGAATGACGTTATTAACCAAAAAATTGCGATAAACCTTGAAAAAGTATTAAGAAATATGAGAGGATATCAATAGATTACAATGATAATTTCGAGAATTTAGAGTAGTGCATGCAATTTTTTAGAAATAATGGCAGAGCAACAGCTGAGCACCAAGAAGAAAATGCTTCTTATAGGCTTCTCAAGAACTAAGTGAAGAAAAATGTTTTTCAAAATGTTAAGAAAACGAATGGAACTTGAGTACATGTTCTTCATTTTTATAAGATTATAAGTTCCGCTAATTTTTTTTATGTTATATAACCAATATCACTGCAAATTTATTATTAGCCAAATTTCTTTAAGTGATTAGTGCTCATCATTTCGTTAGATTCGCTGCAAATATATTTAGAAATTTCGTAATGGACGGCCATAGAGATATATAAAAGTTGGGTCGCCAGCACCATTGGGCATTTTCTTTATTATTGCTTATTAATCTTTCAATTAATTAATTAATATAATTAATCTCGACTCCATTTCTTAAATTCTAATTGAAATATTTAAAAGACGATAAAGGAAATATTAATTGACTCTAATTAAGTTATTGTTTATCTAGTTAAGTTATTGTTTCCCGAACTCTGTGATGGTTGGTGTCAAAAGCGAGGAGGGACAATCAAGACCTGGAATGATATAATCAGGAAGGATTTTGAGTATACTGGGGAACCACCGATATATGGACTTAGACGATGGCTCCTATTATTAATGATGGCGTCGGACCGAGTAACTTGGAGCATCTTACCTTTTTAGCCAACGAAGCCAGCCTAACCAGTAATGGTGAGAGCTGTTAGAAGTTATTGTGTTTTGGCAGATTACTGTATTTTTTGAAAAAATTTTTGAAAAAAATTGTGGAAATCATGAAATTAATTAATTCTCTTTTTAATAGCAGATTTTTCATTTGGTTATTCATGATGATTATTGCTAGGACGTCAGAGAATCAATTATGGGTGAAGAAACAAGTTGTGTCCTAGGTTATGTCGCGCGAATTTAGCTACCTACCGATCTCATTAAGTTTATTATGCTGAACTCGATAGGAGTAAAGTTTTTTCAAAAAATGCGGATGCCGACTTCTGCCCCTAAGTGAGTCTTTAGCAGAAATTTGCCTCGTTTAACAAGTTAGAAGAGTGTACCTAAACAGAAATGATACGAATAATATGATAGTAGCAAAATTGATGGCTTCCAAAATGAGGCAATATGTTTATATTTTTAAAGCATCGTCGATTCACCACAAAAGGATTATCGCCATTTAGATACGAGCAATAGTCATTTGGCGTATGGTTATTAGTTATCTGCCTACAGTATATGACCAATTATTCTATAAAAAGCAGCCTTCCTTTATAATATTGCAATTATAATATTGTAATGGATCGCTTTATTATATTCTATAAATTTTTATTTGTACTATCGCTTTTTATAAGCGATTTTATTTATTTATTTCCTATAATTGCGATTTTATTCCTGCTAATTGGATTTTCAAAATTCTTTGGAAGGCAAAGAAGAGGGGTTCGATGGAAGACAAGCAACCCACATGCGTCGGATTGATGTCCCATGATTAGCAGTGAAATCGGCATGGTATGGTAACTGAGAATTCATCCATATATGATTACAGTTCGACTGGACTAATTTCATCTTGCAAAGCCTCGTTGATAAATTTATGATTGCTCTCTATCATTCGTTAATAAAAATACAAAATTTTTATTTAAACTTGGTTCACTCTCTCTTCCGAAAATGCGAATGGATTAAATGGAGCTAATTATTTCTTTTATTCTTTCGCACAGAATTCGCACAGAAGCTTAAAAGTGTCACTAATAGGGCATTAAAAGATTGTCTTGACGAGAAAGTAGCTAAAGGCATTGGGGTTGTTATAAGAGCGTTATTTAGCGACGTTTTTAACAAAATAGGAAAAACAGGAAAAACAGTTTTTGCGAATATTAGCTGCACTCTTGCGCATGGGACTCTTCTCGAACATTATATTGGCCAAGAAAAATTTTCCTTAAAAGATTTTTCATTAATGGCTATAAAATTTTTTATATAAATTTATTATTTATTATTATTATATTAATTATTATTATATTAATTATTTATTATTATTATATTAATATTATATAATTAATCCATATAATATTAGTTCCAAAAGATGATTTTAGGTTTCTCCCTTATAAGGCCAATGTTACATTTGACGATAGTGATACCGCCTGTACTCTTTTGTTATCACTAACGAAAAAACAGCGAAGGTTATGCATAAAACATCCCTACGCTATCACTTATATCATATCAGCTTTGAAGGCCGCTAAAAGCGAATGTCGAAATCAATTTAAAGACAACCTTTGGAATTGTTCGATTGTAGAAAAGGAATTCCTTGCATCACAACTTAAAAGTATGCTTTAATTTAGATTTTGCATATTTTTTTCCTTGGTTCTTTTCAATAACGAGTGGTGATCAATCTAAAAAATTATTGTAGTTCAGTCTATATTTCTTGATAAAAAGTGAATGGTAGCTTCGATTCGGATTTAAGCGTTTCTGTTTCTCTGCCCTTTGACAAAAGTTAAGTCAGGGCTGTGGGGTGCTAGCTGTTTACAATCACTTTCGCATGAGATTTTCTAACAAAAATCAGCCTTAATCAGTAATGATGATTGAAGGAGGAAGAAGAGGAGAAGGAGAACGAGGTTTTGACCCAATTTTTTTATTCCTTTTTTCTTAAATTTTTCTCTCATATTGCGATTATTAAATAAATTATTAAATAAATTATCCTTAAATTGTCAGAAAAAAAATCAAAATGTTTTATTCACTGTTTTTAAATAATGAATGCAGGAGCAACTCGTGAAACAGCATACATATTTGCGCTATCATCAGCATCAGTAAGTCGAGTAATTGCTCGAGCTTGTTCCGAGGGGGCTCTTACTAGTTGCAGCTGTGGTGCACAACCTAGACGAATACCAAAACACTTTATATGGTCAGGATGTTCGCACAACATTCGTTATGCAAACAAATTTGGCCGCAAATTTTTTGATGAAGTCGAATTAATAGCGGCAAACGATGCTCGGTAAGTTTATCTTTATATATCATAAGTTATTATGCAATGCTTATTCGAATCGTAGATAAGATCAATTAAATTTTATCTGCTAATGCAAACTTCCTTAAAACCTTTAAACTTTTAAGAAAAAATTAAGCTATCCATAAGTCTGATTACAGTGCTATGGTGAATTTGCATAATAACCGCGTGGGTCGTCGAATACTGTCGAAGAATATGCGTCGCAAATGTAAATGTCATGGTTTAAGTGGTTCATGTATTGTGAAAACATGTTGGAAAGTAGTACCTGAGCTAATCGTATTGGCCGAAATTCTAAAAAAGAAATATTTGAACGCTGCTAAGGTTTATAATTCATCGATTCCTTTTTTTTTCTGGAATTGCTCACCATTTCCAATTTTAAGTTCCCTTCACTGGCTTTTCAGGCAAATTTTATTAGGGAGTACTTTGCGGTAGAAATGAGTGGGTGGCATCACTCGAATTTTTGACAGGTTTACCCCTACTGATAGTGTAACTAGCATCAGGACTGCGAAATGATAACAACAACCTACTGGGCTATTCCATCTTACGACCTTCATTTTGTTTATTGTAAACTAAAAATTTTTTAAAGCTCTAAAAAGAAATAAAAATTCGAAAATAAAATGTGGAAAATTTATGAATGCAGATAAAGGTGCTCTAGAAAAATGTTTTCTATTTGCTTTTTTATTTAATACTTGCAAAAAAATTTTGATATTCAATTTTGTAGATACGGCATTAGAGTTAAGATTTTATTCCGTGCAAATCCAATCTCAGTATGGCTTAAAGCCAAAATTTCTAAATTAAAATTTGGCAATTTTCTGATAGAATTTTTTGAGGGTGTCAATATAAATGGCTCATTTGTATCACTTTTTACAGGTTCAAACAGCTGATAATGGCAATGCATTAATTCTAAAGACTGGACCACGATCATTACGAACTGGCCGATTCGTAGGATTTTCGAAAAAAATGGTGGCTAGAAATGAATTAGTTTTCCTAAATGACTCTCCCGATTACTGTTTGATTGATGAAATTAATGGTCTGAAAGGATCGCAGGGTCGTGAATGTAATCAAAACTGCGACGAATAAGTTTTCCCATATTATTTTAATGGTTTTTCATCATATCATTTCCATTTATAATTTTTTTCCTGTGATATTTTGCAAAATTAAGCAAGGAAAAATTTAGAAGTTTTGTATGAAAGATTTAGTAATTATGGTACTTTATCTCTTGATTTCTTGTTGAAGATGAGTTGTTTTCAGATAATTTCTTTAATAAATGAATGATGCTTCCTTCTTTTTTGCCAAATATTATTCCTATTTTCTCATTTTAGAATATGTTGTGGGCGCGGTTATCAAACAGTTCAATCAGTAATTCAAGAACAGTGCAAATGTAGATTCATATGGTGTTGCGAGGTGCAATGCGATAGTTGTAAAAAATTAATTCACCGTAATTTTTGCTTGTAAGTTAATATTCAGATATACCTGGCCAACTGCTGAGAAAAAAGTGTGGAACATGATCGATATAGGCTAAAATATGATAATATAAAATAAGCAGAATACGATGCATATATATATTAAAATATACGATATATATATTAAAAAATATGTAACAATATAATGCAATATAATATAATATGAATATGACATAGAAATATAATATAATATTAAAAAAATAAAATCTAATAAAAATTTAATAAAGAAATAAAAAATAAAAATAAAATAAAAATAATGTAATATAAAAAATTTGGATAATAATTTGGTTGCACATAGAAGGATAGGTTAGATGAGTGGGTTACTGCTCTGACTCCAGACCTTGAATGCTGGAGTTTCGATAATGGTGACCTTTTGTTACTGTTCTGACTCCGAGCCTCGAATGTTGGAGTTCCGGCAAGGGTGAACTTTTTTTAAAAAAAAATTCGGATAGTACTGGCGACTCGTTCTGGCAACAGCTTCACTATCACTATGTGAACTCCTTCGCAAAACACATCTGGTTCCAAATCGGGCAGAATGAGCTTAGGCAAAAATGCTAAGGGCTAATCAAAAAAGATCACATAAAAAATTAATTAAATCAGTAAAAATTATCATAAAAAATATTACAAAGGTATCCAGCAAAAAAAAATAAAAATTAAAGAAAAATTAAATCATAAAAATTATAAAATTAAAAATTAATTATCAAGTAGTTTATTATAAGCAATATTGAAATTTTTTTTTTTTCACTGCTCTATGGTACCATTACATATTAGAAGTGTGTTCGAAATAATCTAATGTCTAAAATTTTATTGTATTTCCTTTGATAATAATAGCTATTTTTTTTCGATGTTTTTCTTTTTTGCAGTCAAAATAAAGATTTTTCTTTTTCGAAAAATTTTCAGAATAGACATTTATAAGTAACATCTGTATAACATATGCGAATTGTGATGGAATGGCAAAAAATTGCAATCAAATGGTTCATCCAATTCACCATCACTGAAATATGTGAATTTGTTAATTTTATAAAATTTACTTACTATTTGCCATCGTTAGCCTATTTTTGAATTTTCTGGAGCAAGTTTGGAAGTGTGGGCAAAATAATTTGTCCCGTATCAAAATCCATTATCTTTACTGTCATTCGAAATTTTTAGATAATTAAGAATTTAAAAGAATTAACGGATCGATAGCTTGAGTGTAACACCAGTTTAATGTCGATCATTTGCTAATATAAAATATTCCTTCAGTTCTTTCTTCGTTTCCTTAACATAATTCCGGATGCGATATAGAAATAATTGCATTAATGAATATGACAAGTTTAACAATCAAATAGTTAATGCTAAAAATATTAAAACGGCAATTTTTCGTTAGCAGTTTGTCTTTCAGTGAGTTAATTATCTAGCGAATATACATATATTTCATTATTCCGATCGAATTAATCTCATTTGATTAAACAGAACGATAATTCTAAATCTGCATTTTAGGTTTTTAGAAGAATATTCATCGATAAATTCCAACAAGAAAACGAATGAAATGAACAGTAGAGAAATTAAATAAATTATAAATTTACAATGAAGCCACCACCGATCCTCTTATTAATTATGCATTCGAATTATTAGCAAACGTTACGAATTTGCATGATAGCTTTCATAGTTTTAGATAGCATTAGAAAATTATCGGCCATAAAAATTAAATTTTATAGGGCAGATGAATAGTGGGATAACTATCATTTATAACCTTGCTTTTTTGGTCACGTTCGGTAGCCATATTACTTTTATTGTTTCAATTGGCTTTACGATGAAAAGGTTTCTTTCTAATAATCAAGGGGAATTCATTACAATTAGGCCAGAATGTTGGCCAGAAAAAATTGACCAATCTTTAAGAGATTTTCGATTAATAATAAGTATTTTTTCAGTTTAAATTTATTTTCGGCAAAATGACTAGGATAAAAGATTTAAAATATATAAAACATAAGTCAGCCGGTTATATTAAAATTTTAAAGTATTTATATTTTTTACAGTCAAAAAGAGTAAATGATATTAAAAACAACAGATTGTTGAATTTTCCTCGTGGGTTAAATTTTTATCTCTTTTGAAAGATTTCTGATAGCTCTTATTATCAACTTCGAACTGTTGAACAGCATTGAATTTTAAAAGAGTATAAAAAAGGTTTTTAATATCCGCAGGTATTGTTAAACTAATGGGGATGAAATGGCTCACTGGGTTGTTGCCCAATTGGGAGCGCCGATGTTAAGATTCAATTCCCCGCAGGAGTAGACCTTATAAAAATCCGAGTGATGTTGGCGACTCATCTGTGTTTCTATTACCAAGGGAAGGGATCTCTGGTATTGCCCAATGTGACGAGCCAATGGAGCGAGTTTAACCAGTAATGGTGAGGACTCTTTAAAAAAAATTGTTGAACCAATACAATAGGATTTTGCCAACGAATGATAAAATTCTTTTAAATTTATGCCATTCAATGCTAATTTTACAATTACAATTTTACAATTTCATAGCTTTCATTAAACCTTACATTATAACAAATACAAATATATTATAAATGTTTCATTAAATCCGAAAATTATGTGAAATAATATAAAATGAATAAGTAATTAGGTTCATTCCACTAGTTTTTACTAACTTTGCCAGAGCCATTTGAGCATAGAAGTAAAGACGTACCTATAATATTTTCCCACTCTAGCTCCACTTGGATTCTGCAATAGCGGGTTTACTCTGCCAGAGAGAAGAAATTATACCAAAAAATGTTAATTTATGCATATTCGCGGTGCATAAAGCTAATTTAGCGCATGAATTTTAATTTGAGTCATATCATTCTCTAATTCGATTTCTGCGTCAAAATACTCGTTAAGCTGTATTTGTCAATTTATAATTAAATATAATTGAGGAGAGGGAAATTTATTAAAATCGCAATTAGTGAAGCGAGTGACTTTCATACAAAATTTAAAAGCCATTTTATCAATAAAGTAAATTTCTAATAAAAATAAATAATATCTACAAAAAAGTTCTTTAATTCTCTAATAATTGGATATGATTGGATATAAAAATGAATTAGCAACATAGAAAATTTATAGCTGATATAAGGTTTAATTTAATTATTATTGACTGAAGCGGGCAATATTCGTCGCTTTCTTCCATCCTGTTCGTGAAGTTGTTTGATAAATCGTATTCTACTGAATTTAGCTTTATCTTTATCTGATAAAAGCGAAATTATTTTGAATAAAAAATACCTCGCTCCAATATTTTTTCTTAAATAATTCAGCTCTTTTAAAATTGAAAATTCACATATACTGATCATACACCTTATCAATAATAAGCAGGAGCAAAAGATAGTAATACAAGCTGAGCGAGAGAGGTTGGGCTGCAATCTACTTTTAATTGACAATTTGTTTTAAGAACCTTTGGTTTGTTTTTATAGTGGGGGGAGAGGAAAGAAGACTTATGCCGATTTAAGTAAAGAAATGAATCTTTTTCATAGATCTTATTTTCATCTCTAAAAAATTCCAACATTTCAAATGATGAATAGTGAAATGCAAATTTGCATACTTGTTGTTGTGAAATTTTCTTATAAATCTTATAAAATGGTGAAATTGTTGTTGAATTGCTTAGTCGAATTCTTAAAAGAAAAAGAACGCTTCAATGAATATAAAATGAAAATTTATGGCCGATAGAATTTTTCGCCGTCGCTCATAATCACCTTCATTTTATCATTCATTTTGAACATTATAAAACACAATGGAGACCATTAACAATAAATAATAATAATAATAACTTTACTCAAACGATATTCGAAAAGACATATTTGAATTATGAATAATGAATATAATAAATACGAAACAAAAATGAACAATAAATATGAGCGATTTCAGTTAATTTCAGGTTTTGTGCCAGATCGTAAGGCCAAGAAATGAGTTGTACAAATAGGCAACTGAGCCAATTAAACCAGAAATATGATAGGTGCTCTAATTTTTTTTTACACAATTAACTGAAGAATAAGGCTCCATTTTCCATTTTTAGAGATAATCAACTACTATTTCTGGAAATTTGAAATATGATTTTAATGTATTAAAAAAAATGAAATAAGACGAAAAATAATATTTTATGTTTGCTATGTGCATTATTTGGTAAAAAATTAGAAAATTTAGTCGATTATGGCAACCTATTTTATAAGCATAAGGCTGGCTGATTTGATTTAACCAGCTGACGGATGAAAAAAACTAGTACGAATGGGAAATTTAAAAGTATAGTTTCAATGTGCCCATGAAAATTAAGGATTTTTTACTATTAGAGTTATAATTGCTATACAAGTGGCTCAAAGCACTAAGCAGTATGAAAAATTTTTAAAAGGCTACAGTGGGCTATGCCGTTCACTGAGCTATAATCTACCTGCAGTTGATCGATCTCGAGTTAGCTTATCAGTTAGCGTCTAGGTTATGACTGATCTAACTTAATGCTCACTGAAAAGGATGGGCGAGTCCCAGCTCACTAAATCATACACTAATTAATAGCAAAAATTCTCATCAAATTAATTTATTATTGGTGTAAAAAAGTGTCACAAAAATTTGTTACTTCTGCTCAATTTACTAAGTCTACTACTTAATAATTGTCCTTTTTTTAAGGAAATTGTGATTACATTATACATTCCTGATGACTGATCAAAAGTGACAAAATAAAGAAATAGGATTAAGGCCAAAAAAGAGACAAAGAAATAAAATATTTTGGCTGATTTAAAGATGGCAATAAGATTAACCTGGTTTGAGCGACTAGTCGATAAGAGGTCTTTGAACTCGCTAAATAATTGGTTAAACCAAATCCCTCACCACGATTATGGATATTTTTTACAAAAGCGAATGCTCTATCGATGTATTTTATTATTATATATGAAAGATTTTTCATTCATTCAAATTAAATTAAATTAAATATATTAAATTTTAACAAATGTTTTTTAAAAATTTTTTAAAAACTGTTTTGCAAGAATTTTGGAAAATCCAAATCGTCCAAAATATTCGCAAATTGAAGGGTGAAAGGGCAAATTATATTTTTTAAGATAATTTTAATATAATCAAATAATGGAATAATAAAATATAAAATATTTTATAATTGGGTATACATCTCTAAAATTCTGGAAAAATAAATAATTTCGATTGTATTTAACAAAGTGCTGAATGCTGATTGGTTATCTCGTTATGAAGGAGTGTATCACGCATATTTTCGTCGATTTTTAGCAAATTTTCAGAAATTCTCATTTTGTATATTTTTGAGGAAAAAGTTTAATTTCAGCAAAAATTCCTCTTAAAAAGTTTGTCGAATTCTTTTGCGGTAGGTTTTTTTTCCGTAGAAAAGTTTCATTTTATTTATTAAAGCACCTTTTATCACTACAATTATCATTATTATTATTAATATTAATATTATTATCATTATATAGCCAACTAATTATTATTATTCTAACATTAAGCACTGTTTGATTCTACGGTATGCTAGCACAAGGTGTTTAGGTGACCAGAGAATAACTTGGTAATGGAGGTAAAGATGAACCATCAGCACCCACGCGACTAAAATTAATACAAATAAGTGAAATGCGAAACATTCTCATATTTTAATGTAATCACAAATAAAATATAAGGTTTTTTTTCAACATTTAGTTTTGTTTTTTTCTGACGATCAATTTACACGATTTGATTACTGGAGAAACACTTATCAAATCACTTATCAAAGCTCATTATCAATGCTAGAAAACTTAGAAATAGCGTGAATGAAACTTTGCTGGTCTATCTAGTCAACTAATTTTTCAAAATCACATCAAATTAATAATAAGTATTTGCTTTTTTTTCAAAGTTTTTTTGTCGATGCATTTTAAATCTTTTCTTTCGCGAAACTTTCTTTACATATTTTTTCGATGACAAATTCGCCTGTTTCAAAACTTTTTGCAATATAAGAGAATGAAGAGAAATTGTTTTTGAATATCATGAACGCGAAAAACGCTTTCTGCAATAAATTTAAGACTTCGCGAGATGATGCGCATAATCTCATTATTATTCCCAAAATTACGATTAGCGACTTCAAACAACATGTGCTGAGATCGAATATGCGCTAAATAATTTCATGGGCAACTTTATTCCATTTAATTTCAAATTTAAATTATCGCTAACGCTAGAACTACGACGTCCGAAGATAATTTATTCCGATAGTTCATACTTTATCTTAAAAAAATAATCAGATACTAATTTAATGTTACAAACAGGTTTCCGTATCTTCAAGCCACTGTCATTAGTATTGAAATGTAACAAGAGTCTGTAATGTATTATGGTATGCATGAATCGTTTGCACCATTTTGTAATTTGATGTGCGACTATATTTTTGAAGTAAAATTCATAAGTTTTCAAGCTCAATTTAGTCGCATGTTTTATATCACGAGTGATTGATATTCGACTTTTGCGAAGACTTTTAGTCGATGCATGATTGTAAATTCACCTCTCATCTTTCATCTCTCTTAGAAACCTTTAAACTATTCTTATAGAATAGAAATATTTTAAAATAAAATTTGCATTAGCAGCAATCATTTGTGTTTTGGATAATCGTTCGGTAAATAGATAGATGTCTAAATTTATAGCAATAAATCAAACAAATTGCCTACATGTTGCTTTCGACATATATAATTTATAAATATATAAATGCTAAATTGTACTATTTCTTGATTTTACGCAATCATTTCCCGGGTATTGTTTTTTTTTACAATTCATATAAATATCGGTGTTCAGGTAAATAATTTTAATGAGAGTTCCATTATAAGTGAATTCACCTCGTTTGATTACAACCATTAAAAAAATCCATTAATAATGAAGAGATAAGATTTATACCATCATTCTTAAGTAATTTTCTCGCTGAAAAACTATCATAACTAGTCAGTTGAACTGATTAAAGCAGAGATGATATGAACTATGAAAGTGAAATAAAAGAGTTTGGCCTAAGTACCATTTTTTGAAGTTAGTCGATTTTTTATTGCTAAAAAATTCATTTTGAACGCTTGAAACTTTATGGTAATTTAGTGCATTTAAATAAATTTAGTGCATTTAAATTTATTATTTTTCAACTTAAATTTAAAATAATTTAAATTTTAGAAAATCTAAAGTGTAATTTTATGAATCGATAGGAACGATGTATGTTTGGATGATGACTTTACCGTAGTCCACAACCATCGATTGTCTAGTATTGATAAAACTAGAATCGATAGTGGGAAAAAAAATATATCGTGCCTAGTAATGAATTTTTTAGAATAGAATACATATAGGTTTTCATGATAAATCGATGGTTCAAAACATTCGATTAACCATGAAGTTTCGAAAATTTGAAAATTTTTAGTGAAAATAAATTCGGCTGCCAAGATTCAACATTGTGCTGTTATCAGTGTTATCACTTCATGAAACTTTATACGTGTAAATTTTGCTAGAATTATGTTTCTATACGACTTTCTAGCATTTAATTTTGCTAAACTAAATAATTTAACTAAATAATTTTGCTCAGATTTCGAGTCGAAATATGGGGGAACAGCAAAAATGTTTATTTCATAAAGTAATGTTTACGAACTGCATTAAGAACGAATTAAAAATAGCACGAGGACTGTTTGTGGCAGATTCCGATTTCAATACTTTATAGCCAACGATTTGTTAAAATTATTTTTATTTCTCGTTTGCTTAATTTTCCTTATAGCTAATTACTTTTTCTATAAGCTCTTACTATTTTTAATCAAACTCGCTCCGCTGACTTGTCGGATCGATCAAAATTTGAAAATTTTGAAGTCACTTGGTAAAAAAGTAGATCGGTCACCAGTATCGTCCAAATTTTTGAATAACAAATTCATTTCTGACGGGAATAGAAACCAGGCTTGGCCCTTCGTCGTGAGAGAAACAACCCACTGCCAATTCACTCGTATACAATCAGAATTCGTAAAAAAAACAATTAGATAGCAATGTAAGCATTTGATAAAGAGCAATTTTTAAGGAAAATAGTTTCAGGTGGGAATATGAAGGCAGAGCAAAATGATCTAGTAAGGGACATACGCATAAATGCAGATCGCATCAACACATCTTGCTCATCGGGGCTATCGTCAAGAGATTTAGTTGACCTTGAAGCGATTGTTCTAAACTGGGCAAAGCAAATTTTTGAGATCACTAAGAACAAGAATGAAGCACGAATCAATAAAAAACATCTTCAGGTTGTTTTCCTTAAATGCTTTTTTCGCTTGAATGCTATCTGAAATTTTCTACGAATAGGGACAGTTATTCGCTTTTATTGTCATTGTTGTTAGCATTGAATGTAGATTTGCCTATCAACTGTGGAAGTCAAATTTCCAAGATTTTCACTGAATCAAAAATTTTTAGGAATTTTTTCTCTTCGGTCAGAATTTCCCAAAAACATAAAAAAATAATTTCAACAATAGAAAGTTGATTAAATTGATTTTTATAAGAAAAGGATTTAACAAAATCTACGATATTTTAAAACCATTCTTCTTCGAATCAATTCTCCCAAGAGCAATTCATTTTGGCAGCGGAACTTAATTTTTTGAAAAAAACCTCATTGTATTCTTCCATTTTTTTTTAAAAAATAAACAGCCGTGCGGTGGTTAAATCAAAAATTTAAAATAGGTTCGCTTAAATATTCGCCGATGCACCATAAAATCTTTTGGCAATAAAGCGAGACGTATAAGCGAATATAGGTCGACATTAGTCGCCTGGATCTTGTTTTCAATGTCAGGTTTATTGCCGTCGGACATAATATTTAATAGATGGGGAAATTTAAACAAGAGAGTTTTATTAGCAAAAGGTGATTTATTTGTGTTTTGGGTGAAACCATGTGGAATTGCAATTTGGCTTAAAATCACCGTTGCAATTTTCAATCCCATTATATTCCGTTTGTTTCTATTTGCCTATATCCATTCAGTTTTTGCTTGGATAAAATATAAATAATTCAACAAGTGGGGATTCATTTCGCAAATAATATATTGATTCTTCTACTAATTGGTAGATAATTTCTCGATGGGAGATGCTTGATTGAATATGCAAACAATACACATTGTTACTTGCTTATTTATCAAATTATGAATATATTGAGCGAAGTCCCTTCATGAATTGTTGGAAATTTATTTATAAGAATCGAGAAGTAAAGAAATTGCTAAAAATTATTGGCCATTTATTTGGCTTCATTAAGGAGTTTGGCTTAGACCGAAACTTATCCACACTCTCTTCTCAAAGTCTTTTGCCGAGATTTTTATAGATTTTAATCCAGTGGTTACTCGAATGTTGTTTTTAAGTAAAAAATGGACTAATCTTCTTTGTAAATACGCCTAAATTTATCTCAACACTGGGGATTATTAAATTCGTAAAAACATTTCGCTAGTTTTTATCGTTTGTATGATAATGCATTTATTTTTGTTGCTAGAGACCCACTTGCACTTACTTCTATCTTCAAATATTCTCTAGCGAAGGGATCTGATCATAATAGCGAGTGGAGTGAGCCTAACCAGAGATAATGGAGCTATTTGACGAAATAAGAGATATTTAAAATTCTCGCATAGATTTTTAATTCGAAACCTTCTTCAACAATTTTTTTGCAGTTCTGCTAAATTTTGTATCTTTAATTTTAAATTTTTATAGAGATAAATTTAATGAATAAATAAAAAATAAATAAAATAAAAACAGAAAATCTTAATTTTTATTTCTCTTTTTTATTAATATTAAATATTTTATTTGTGTAATGTTTCGGGAATAAATTAAAATCCAAATTTCTGGATGATTTAATTTCTGGAAAAATTAATCTTTTTTATTAATAAAAATTAATAGAAGAATTTTTTTCATATTCTATCTGTTTCTTTCTAAAATATTTATTTAATATTTAATATTTTTTTGAATCTCTCAAATTTTAATGTTTTACAGTACAATATAAATTGGTCACATTTGTTTAATGAATGCCTGGATCCAACATATTCAATTGATGGAATCGATACGAAATCAACAAGGCAAACGAAAGAGGAACAAACCCTTTTTAAGTCAACATTCACGAATACAACTGAAAGAGAACAAGAATATTCTTTTAAAACTGAACGATCCACTCGAAGTTCTGTTACCGTTGCTATTGGTTAGAAGATTTTGATTTACGGCAAATAATTTAAATTATTCATAAATTTTCTATAAATTAAATTATAGAATTTAAATTAAATTAAAAAATTAAATTAAAAAATTAGCCCTTTTCGAAAATAACCGCTTAATTTAGTTATTGTTATAAGGCAAGGAACATGTTCGATTCCTGATGCAGTCGAAAATCTATCATTGAAATCCGCATGTTTGATAGTGGATCTATAATGGACCTATAGCTAGTGGACATATTTATAACCCTGTCCTGAGGTGAATCTCTAGCGGAAGGACTTTGACTTTTTTTTACGTTTTTCTTAGATTGTAAAATATTCATTCAGTTTACATCTACTATAATAACAAAATAGAATAACAGATATTTTAGAAAGAATAGTTAATGATAGAAATCGATGACAGATAAAAATTTCAACAAAGAATGTGTGAATGAAGACAAGTGAATGTGTGAAGATCTTTGGGTAAATTTGGAGAATAAATTTAGAAAATTTTCAAAAGTGAATAAAAATTTTTTCTATTTGAGGGATGATGAAAGATATTTTCAGTTTATGAAATTGATTAAAAAAATTAAAAATTAGGAAAATCAAAAGACAAACTTATAAGTAATTCCCTTTCCGTTTGGTTCAAGTTAGATTCCATTTCTGATTTTTATGTTTAGGGCAAAAAGCTTTCGCTAGAGGGTCAACTGATGGCTGAGGTGCAAATGGCTAAAATCCAACCAAAATATTTTATGAACTAATTCACTCTTCTTTTATATCTGCAAACCACCATCAAAAGCAAAATAACTAGCATCTATTTTTTAAATAATTTTAGCATCAAATAATTGATAAACTTGAATATTTTTCTAAAAAGAGCCTTCTTAAATTTGCAACAAAATTTATTATTCATTTATAGAAAAAGGCATTTGTCGTGGTGTTGAATTAGCTCTAAAACTAAAAACACCATGTGAAATATTAGAAGCGAACGCTGGTTTCCAAAATGAAATATCGGTTTATCATATTGGTGAGAATACGACTGAAGAAGAATTAACTTGGGGAGTTGACAGTACCGTACGTGTTCCTGCATTATGCGAGACTGTCGCAGAATTGGTCATTTTAGAGGATCATCATATTAGGTGAATTTGATTATCATTTTTGATTTGAGTTAATTTGATCCAGTGTTTATCATTCTTTATCAATGTTATCTATCTTATTCATTTTAAAAAATTCATTCATAGCCTTCGCATTAACTATTATTTGTATTTATCTGTAGTTATCTCCAATTCATCTAAATAATATTTCTCCTTCATTCTATATTCTAAGACAAGCAAAGACTTATTCTAAGATATATTTCTGATTCATTTGGCTCATTCCACTAGAATATCATAAAAAAAATAAGAACCTTTCCCTAGAGGATCACTTGGTGATTGAAGTGATTCTCTAGAAGCCACATGTAAATGTACCGTTAATTATCTGTGGGATGGCTTAAATAAAAATTAAGTTTTTTGTTCCACTAGATTTTTTTGCACATAAAAACACAATCCTGTTTCTTAACAAATTGGAATTGAATTTCAGATTTTGAAAAAAGAACTGAAACAAATTTTTTTTTGTATTGTACAACAGAAAGAAAATCAGAAATTCATTTCCGTTCGTAAGACATTATTTTAGAAATTCAGAAGTTTTAATAAAAATTTAGCTTTAAGGAATAAAATGCGAATTAAATGGGACGAAAACTGAAAATAAAAAAAAATTCTTAAAAACTAAAATAATTTCAAATAACTTCAAAAATCGAATTAACTCTAAATTTTTATAAAATTTTAAAGAAATTTATGAATTATGATTTATGAAAACAAAAAGGTGGATAAATTAAAATTTAAAAAACATCTAAAATACAATAGAAAATTATAAAATTAGAAAATTAAATCGGAAAAATGGTAGAAGGTAATGTTTTCCCAAAAATATTTATGAATTCTTTCGCAAATATATGAAATATTTGGAAAAAGGATTTTAATTTTTTACGAAATGCTTTTTAGGAAAAAAATTTGGGAGAAAAAAGTTTAATTTTACTGGTTATGAGAAATTTTTCAAATAAAATTGTCAAATAAAAAGGTAAAAAGTTTTTTTTTCAGGAAATTTTCAATCGAATGCCAATTAAGCGGTCGAATCATAGTAACTGTAACTAATCTAAAAGACAATAATAGCCTAGTAACGATTATTGAAGGAAAAATCGCCGATATAATTCGTGCGCTTCCTAATTGTGCTTCGCTTGGATTCGTTGTCCAAAATGATGTTAGTTAATTTTCTTTTGTTTTCATGAATTTTTATTTTCGAAATGCTCACAAAATTTCTCTCCATAGACTGCAAATTTCATTTATTCTGCTAGATGAAAAACTTATTTTTCAAAAATCCGGATGCTTATGGCCATTATATCGTTAAGCGGCAAAAATTGTCTGGCCCAGCGAGCCAATGCAACGAGCCTAACTAAATATGATAAGCGCTGATTATTGCATTAAGATGGTATCAAATTTCTCGAAGTTCATCGCTTTCAAATTTGTTCATGAAACTTTAGATTCTCGTTAATTATAATTCATTCCTTTCATTTTTAAGTTATACCTTTGGATTGCGAATAGTTCTTCACATCGAGTAAAATCATTAATTAGATATTTGCGCGAAAAATTATGGTGCAACTGTTCTGCTTTTCTGAACCATTGGACAATAAAAGAACTACTTATTTTACGAATTGCCATATTGATATTTACTGCATCAAGCGCTCAACCGTCTTTTCATTCTATCGACATCTTACGGCTTTAGAACCAAGGCATTTCGCTTTTTCAGCAATTAAGTTTTGAGAGACCATGGAAAATCTCATTTATTGACAATTTCATGATATTTGATTAACGAATTTTATACCATGGAGAGTTGAATAGCTGATCAAATATTTGTTCGCTTTTTTTTTCACTCAGTATAAGTAACAGTCGAAAAATTTTTTATTTTCATTCATCAGTGATTTGTGAATCCTTTAAGATTTCATGATACCTTATCAATGATTTATTATGCAACAGTAATTTATTTTAATATTAGAGAGATAAGCAATAGCAATAGATTAATTCTAAACTTTTCTTCATTTAAAGGTAGTACATAGGTGCAAAGACGTTCTTGCCAAGTGGATCCTATATTTCCTAAGAGAATTCATTTTTTTTAATAAGATAACTAATTAATAACTAATTATGGTGACTCGTTCCGCTGATTTACCAGACCATAAAAATTTTGCCAGAGAGTCAAAAATACAGGTGAGTGGTCAACATTATTCGGATTTTTGAAAAATAGATTTACTCCGGCAGAGAGAGAAATAATTTATTGAGAAAAAGGTCAACTCACATCTTTAACCCTTTTCTCCTTTTTAAAATTAGCCGCTCCACGTAGAAATTTACTCCTGCAATTGATATATCTGCTTGCCTAATTTTATTCATTGTTTCGCATTTTATCACGAATACTAAAAAACTTTTCTTCGTACCAAATTTTTTGCACCAAAAATCCTCACATTTATATCTTTAGACGGTTATTTATATAACGAAAGGAATATGCAAATTTAAATACGGCGTAGAGCAAAAGGTAAGAATCAAGGAATACGCGGTCCGACGACCATTTTAACTTTGTTAAACCAGTATCCATGCACATTTTATTAGAAATGTTCAGTTTCTGCGTTCTTTCATGTTCTTTTCACCATTCGCTTGATTTGCATTCAATTATTCAATTATCTTCATATTTGGATACAATTTACTATTATTTATTATCACTACGTTATAGTCGACTTGGAATGAAAAACAGGCTTATTATAACCATCAAAAAATAAAATTTTTATTTGTGTTTGTCGTGCTCCTTCTCTCTCTTCTAAAACACAGGGAGGCATCATTTCTAGTTCTCCACGAGGAAGAGGAAGAGCTTCCAGTCCATCCATGTAGATATAAAATTTTATAACTAAAGTGTTTCTAATTCTATTAAGATGATTTATTTTATTTTTTACAAAATTTAGAATACAAATATTTATTAAAAAACAAATCATTAAGGTTTGCTTACAAATCAACAAGTGAAAATGTTAATAAATTCTGAAATACGAAAAATTAGGGCAATAAAAATGCTAAAGAAATTCTGCATATGAGGACAAATCTTTGACGAATATTGTAATGATGAAAAAATGATGAAAGTTCGAGAGAGAAATAGAAAGAGATAACTCAGAAAGTCTTAACGAGCAGAAGTGGAAGTCTTCTGCCAATAATTCCTAATTTACGCGACCAATTCCAATAAAATAATGAATGCTTATATTTTTTCATGTTTTTTTCATCATTCCTTTTGTACATTTCTCGAAAAATCAAAAATACAAAGTAATAACTGGAAAATTATTGCACATCGTTTTCACTAAGCAAAATTCAAAAAAAAAGCAAAAATAAAAAGAATATTTTGAAAAAAAAATGTGTTTACTCGGATTATTGAAAATGTGTTGATTAATAGCAAACGAAGAAACAGATTTATAGAGAAATATTTTAAATATTTAAAAAAAAACGAAATATACCTATTGTAACAAAAAGAAAAATGATTAATAAATGCGCGCTAAAAGCCACTAAATGCATGATAAGGCAAGAACGATTGAGCATTAATTATGACGAAATGAAAATTAAAAAGTTTAATCAAAAAGTTATGGCGAACGGAGAACCAGGAATTTGCTCATCTCCATACTTAACAAAAATGAAACCCTTGCTCCGTTCTTGAATGCGGTATGTCACTGAATATTGTCCGTGGCCCTGATGCTTAACCGAGACTTCATCGCAAGGTCCTTTCGTCGTTACAACACCAACGAATAGCAAGTCATTTCCTAAAAATGACTTTAATGAGCATACAAATTTTTTTCAAAATATTCAAAGATTTAAAACATTTTAAAAGCCATTCATTAAATATAACGGTTCGCAAAATTTTATAAAATCATTATATTTATTAAATTATGAAATCATCAAAATAAAATAAATCTGAAATCTTACAATTTTTGTTGTATTATCACTAGGAATGATCGGTTTCTTCCAGGACACAAAATAAAATAAAAAAACGTACCAGCCATAGCGGTGTCAATGTTAAATATAGCTGGCCTCCCAGGGAAAAATTTATTAAGGCCGGAGCCTTTTACGGAAACTTTGCTTGCATCACTTTTAAAAACTGGTGCTTGTATAACCGTACCTTTACTCGTCTTTGCTGGTGCATCAATCTAGTAAATATCTAATGGTAATAAAACGTTCATATAATTATATATAGTAATGTTACTATATAGTACTTGAATATTAATTAAGCACAAAAAATTACTTTAATGAGGGAAGTCTCGGGTTCACCAGTTCCACCAAGTTCATTCCCTTGAACACTGATTTTAAATGGTGATCCCGGAATATGAACACCTAAATTTAGCAAAAATTGAAAGGAAAAAAGAAAATAAACTTGAGAAAATAAGAAAGTTCCATATCATATGATGTAAAAATAAATATGCAATTGAGCTGGCTTTTCAAACAAGCAATAAATAAAAATATCACCAGAATATTTAATTGCTGCATAATACGTTCCCGGAGCTAGTGCCATGTATCGAACTTTATATCCATGTTCAAGCTAAAAGAAGAATCTGCAATTTCTAAACCAGTTTTTTGAGCAGTTTTTAAAAAAAATTAGGATAACTGAAAAAAATATTTATAACTACAAATAAAAACTTAAAATTCCACAGAACAGGATCAGGAATACCAAAAAAAAAGGTTTAAAAATGTAAAGTATATACTTCATAAGCATCCAGAGTAACTTTCGATGGCCCATCGACTTGAACTTGTAGTAAACCAGAACCAGCATTTATAGTATTAACGATAAATTCACATTTTTGTCCTGTTTGACCAGATCGAATACCATCACCACATACTGTTATTGCAGTTGGGTCACTATCACCTTTAGCACCAATACGCAAACGAAATGGGGAATCACGCATTGGAGCACCATCCAATGTCACATCGATGTAATAATTACCAGACTTTAATTTTAAATATTTAAATTATTATCGTACAATTCTGTAATATAAATGTTCGACTAGAAAACTTTTTATATTGGATCTTACATATTTATTTCCACAAGATAAAAATGCGAGAGGCAATTAGCATTAACCGATCTATCTGAGAAAAGCTTAAAAATGGAAAATTCCATTTCATTTTTCATTGAAAATTCAAAATCTAAAAATAAAAATAAAAATATAAAGGAAAAAAGAAAAACCAGAAAAAACTCGCACTTCATGTGGGATAAAACGAAGTGCATATGATTCTCCTTCATCAATCGGTACTATGTCTATGGTTTCAATATTATTACTAGGAGTTTGAACTTTAGCTTCCAAATGACCAGCAGCACGATGAGTTAAAACAGTGAACGTGCAAGCTTTTTCAGGCATTCCAGAATCAGGAAATGATGCTAATTCGAGTCGTCGAGCTTCTCCAGTTGCTGGAGCCACGAAAACCTGAAAAAAAAAGAAAATCAGACAGAGGAAAATCATACTGCATTAGTTTCATCATAGATTTACTCCGAAATTAAAAAAACCATGATAAATTGTAGTTATATACCACCTTAAAAGGAGAATCTGGAATATGTTCCTTGTTGAACAGTATTGAAATAAGATATTCACCAGGGCTGCTAACCTTATAATCAACATGACACCCGCCATCCTAAAAAATATTACATCATAAAAATTAAATTTTATTAAATTTATTAATTTATTATAAAATATAGGTACTTTACCTTGTGATCATGAAATTCAAGTAGGGGTTTTGACGGCCCTTCAACAGATACAACCAAATCTCCTTTGCCTGCTTCTCTAGTATAAATATTAAAAGACTGTTTGACATTTGTTTCAGCTCTTAAAAGTCCGACACCAGCCGCGCGCACTCGATGAGCACCATAATCTTCGAAGTGACCAACTGTATATTGAAAAGGACTACCTGGAAAATAAAAAAAAATAAAAAATTTTTTATATTTGCAGATCCCACATCGAAAAAATTGAAGAACGAAAATATAATGAAAATATAACAGCTCAAACCAAAGAATTCAATGATATCTTCAACGAGCTAAAATCCTACCTTTTTCAGAAAATGCAGTGATGAAAATTTTTCACCTGCGACATGTTGTTCTCTATGATAAACCGAAACTGCATGAGCACCTTCCATTTGCGGTTTGAACTTCAGCTGATAGAAATTGTTACCCAAATCGCGCATTTCTATATCTTCGCTTTGACCATTCGGTTTCGTAATTCTTGCAGTTATCTCCATAGGTGAGGTGTTAGACAACTGCAGAAACAAAAAAGCATCTTGACCAACCAACGATATCGAAGCCTTTAAAATATTGGTAATAAGAAAAAAAGTAAAGACTAAAGGGAAAATAAAGTGATATTGCAAAGCAAATCGTCACTGAATGATTGAAAAACATGTTATTTTGAAAAAATATACTAGGATCAAATAATAACAGCGAAATATGAACCTGCGGGACTTCTTTCTGGATTATTTCCTTAACTGCCCCAATACCTTTTCCGGTGCAGCTTACAGTGAACGGACTATCTATATCAAATACGAAAGTATTTATCCAAAACGTGAAAACATTAAACATATAAAACAAAAATTAAACGCACGCAGCCACCATTACAGAAAGAATATTTTTATAAAAAATGAACCTTTAACCGGCAAATCAGCAAACTTGATAGAAACGATATAAATTCCTGGCTCTGTTGGACGATACGATATGACAATAATACCATTTTTAGCTTCTTTACAAATTAATTCAGCTTTCGAAGGTCCTTCTACAGAAACCGATAGACCCCCATAACCTACAATAATTAAATATTTTGCTTAACATTTTAAAACAAATTTAATGGCTTTCTTGAAAGATAAAGAACGCAAGAAAACCTGCTTGACGTGTGTCGACTAATATGTCATTAAACTTTTGACAAATTGCTTGAGCTCTACCTTCGCCAGAGACTATAACCTTAGATGCATCACCAACCTATAAAATAATTTGCAAAAAAATAGTTTCTTGTTACTTAATTAGTTAACATAATGCAAAACCAAAAAATTTACCTGGCTTTTATCAACTTTAATTCTGAACGGAGATTTTGGGATGATATTGCCATCTCTTTTCACAGTGATGAAATGCTCGCCTGCTTCCCTTGGTGTAAATGAGACTCCTGCGAGTAAAAAAAAAAGCATATGTTACAAAAAAAAGTATTATCATACAAAATAAAGTAGAATAGCTAAATTATTGCTTAGATATAATATAACAGCCACCATTCCAGTTCAATCCTCTTCCTCATCTCCCCATAATATGATTATCTACCAAAATTATTTTATATTATATTATATTTATATTTAAATTATTTATATTTTATTTTACCAAAATTATTCACATTTTATTGTATCAACCAGTGGAGAGCCAGTGGAGAGAACTTGACAGGAAAGAACTGTGAGAAAATAAAGAAATATAACGAGCATCATAACGCAAAAAATGAGAACACACCAATATGAGAATGATCGATCAACCGAATGAAACATGGTTCTTCTATGCCAGAAGGGCTTTTGATTGAAGCTGATAAGCCCTTCAGTTCATCAGCTGCCACATTAAGAGATACCTATACAAAATAGATCGAAAAACAAAAAATAAATGAAAAAAATAAAATGAATTAAAACACAAAATGGCTTTAAAGTGGGGTACCTCAGATGTGGATCCAACAGAAAGGTGAGCTCTCTTTTGCCCTTCACCAGCAACAAATACGGAAAATGGTGAGCCTTTCACCGGTTTCCCTCCAATTTTAACATGGATTTTATATTCACCAGGTACGGGAGGAACCCATGCAACCGAGCACGTGCCATCCTGCAAGATAGAACTGAAACCATCCTGATTATTCATTCTTAACTATTCAATTTTTCAAATATTTCGGCAATTATTGAAATAAAATGAATAAATATAATATAACTTAAGTCCATATAAAATCATACTGGCTTAATCTCAAACAAGAACCTGGAAGAATACACTGCGATAAAATAACTCAACATACCTTGTTATCATGGCACTTTATAGTAGCTTTTCCACGACCTTCAACAGATACTGACAGTTCTTTCGCAACTGGTCCCCTAGCACATACTGTAAAGGCTGCTGGTTCACCAACCACTGCCTTGGATAAACCAGGCCCATAAACAGTTATGAGACCTTCATGAATATCATCGACAAAGAAAGACATGGGGCTGCCAATCATATTTACACCATCATACTGAACCGATAAAAGATGATGACCTATATTCGTCGGCTGATAAACAACTGAAACAGTCCCATCATGATTATCCTGAAATTATATTTCATTAATTTTTAAAACGCCTAATTCGTGCTAAATTACCATAATAGCAGAATCTGAATAATAAATATTACTATCATACATTGCCTAGAAATGCCAAAATTACAAAAATTTAATAATAAAACCTTTATGATGGCACTATCCTTCTTTCCAGATGGCATTGTTACAACAGCACGAAGTTTATCAAAGACTCGCTTTTGAATATCGCCAACAGTAAAAACAATATCGCGCTCAGAAATTGACGAACGATGTTTACCGTTCGGGATGAATTCACTCGGCTCAAAATCGTCGTTTCTTTTGAGAACTGATAGCTTCAAATCCGAATATTCTTCGACACACTGCAATTTCGATCTCATCGATTAAGAAAATAAATATCACTAATGTGAAACGGATCTTTAAAATAAAAATGAAGGAAGATCTATAAATGGACTCGAAAAATTCCGAAATATTATTTAAACACAAAAAAACTCCTAAATTCCAGTAAAATCTTGGAATAAGATTTTTAATGAAATTTCAAATGGCCAGCGAAATTTACACAATCGTTGGAATTTTTTCGCTTTTTTTCATGAAGATTCCTAGAATATTCACTAAAATAAAATATTCACCAAGCCTATACAATTAGCTTTACAAATACCCTTGGATAAAGCAGTAATGGCCATTAATAACTGTTAAATTCTCAAAGATGTTTTTTAAATATCGCAAGAGAAGGCCAATTAATCGATAAATGGCAATATTTTGATAAATAATCATCAACAAAATATTATTTCCTATTGCTTATCATTTTGTCATTTTAAATTAGTTTTTGATAAAAAGCATAAAATATCTTTCCAAAATTATTTACATACTTAAAAAAACTAGGCAAATCATAAAATTAAAATTGAATTTTTAAAATAAAAATTAATAAAATTAAGAATTGCAAGTTATAAACACAAATCACATTGTAAAAAAACAGAAAACAATATAAGAAAATCATTAAAAATAACTAAGCAAGTTTTTTTTCTTAAAGCATTGAATAAAGAACAATTGTTCATTTTACAATAATTATAAATGAATTATGAGGTAATTTAACTAATGAGTTATCGAAAAAGAAATCAGAAAAAAAGATGATTTTTAAATTGAATTCTTCCAGGATCAATGGAATTTTACTCCCTTCTCCCGCTTCCCCATTCTTCTTCTGCAATTCCCAAACCTATGATCATAAAAGCTAAAAAAAATTCCCCGTTGAAAATTTCATCAAAAAATAATTAATTCAATTTATTAGTTGAAAAAAAGTGGAAAAACTTATGAAAATTTAAAATATAAATTTTAATTTTATTTTATTTATTTATTTTTATTTTAATTTTATTTTATTTATTTATTTTTATTTTAATTTTATTTTAAATTTCTTTGGAAACAAATCAAAAATCTAAGAAATATATAATATAAAAATCTAAGAAATATAGAAAGAAAAAATCTAAGAAATTATTTTAAATAATAGAATAATATAACAGCGAGAAATATTTAATAACAAAGTTTTACGTTTCAAAATTTCAAAACTCTGAAAGCTATACTAATCAAGGTGTTTATTATTATATCAATTGGATTAAAATTAACATTTGAGAAAATATTAGAATTTTACACCATATCAAGCTTTAACTTGTAATTCTATCTTCAAATCTGCATCTGCTCCTTTCTATTCCTCTAAGAAAGACCATCCCGCTATTTTCAGAGAGACATTCAGGAAAAAAATTATAGGCCACCCGAGCGGATATTGGTAGATATAAAATAATCAAATGAATTTAACCTTTTTGATAAACAATTTAGATTTAGATTTTTCCAGTTTCTAAAAAAATAGAAATCAGACTTGAATTTCCAAAACACTAATGATTCAATAATGATTCTGCAATATTACAGGAAAAAAATTTCTAAACTATCAATTTTAATAAGAGAAAATTTTTCTCTTATGAAATGAACGTCATCTGAAAATAAGCAATAAGAAAATAGTTCTGATGAATAGATGTGTTAAGTAAGGTTGAACAAATGTGTTTCGGCATAGCTGATTGCTGTGTTTCGGCATAGCTGATTGCTGTGCAAAAAGAAATTGAACATATTTGCTAGAAATTCATTTATTATACATTATTCGTGAAAATTCAGAAGCCATTACAGCCAGCACACAGCTGCCGCACAAACATACTTTCAACCAATCCAATTATCAAAACAATTCGAGTGTAAAGGGTAATGAAAATTTATCAGCAACCTCTAAATATTTTATCTCGTATTAGCTATTAAATAATTTTGTTATCTAAATTCTCAATAAGCAAAAATAAAATAACATCAAGATCATATAAATATAAGTACGACAACTCTTTGTTTAAAAAATCTTCATCCCAATTTAATTTGATTAAACAGCAGACTAATGAGGACTTCAGTCAATGCTCAACGAAGAAAGACTAGCAAAGACCTCAGTGTTATAGTAAATAAAAATCTTGCTTTAGAACTTTAAGAAGTTTAAAAAGTTTCATTTTTATATAAAATTACAAATAACTTAGATGAACCTTAAAAATATCACAGACAGCCAGGAGTATGCGCCGTCTAAATCGCGGAGGATCTATCAATTGCGAGCCTAGACTGAAACTGAACCAATTAGTTTCATGAAGTGAAATTAGAAAAAGAAGTTTTATTTACTATTTACCCATAAAATTTTATTTGGCTATAACCTAGGGACAATAATAAATTTTACAATTTGTGTTTATAACTCCAATCATGGCAAAACTTAATGGATGGAAATTACTATTGATAAATCTATAGAACTAAAAACATTAAAACTTTTCCATTAATTACTAGAATAAAAATTATTTAACAATGTAATCTGCACATCGTCTGTAGATAAAGATATCAGATATATATTATCATTTATGATATGTTTACAATTTTTTACACTATTTATTTTATCAAAATTCTTACGCAGTGCCATTTTTTGACAACTGAGTAAAGTTTCATTTCTTTTTAACTGAATTGCGAGCTTTATACATCAAAAATTTTAAAATGTAAAAAAAAACCTATATTTTTATAATAAAAATATTATAATTATTAAATATTATAATTATAAATATTAAATATTTTAAAAAACCACATTTACATATGATACATCCTAATAAATATCGAAGAAATTTCAAACTAACCGATCATATATCGACAGCTTTAAAAAAAAAAATTTAAAAGTAAATAAGGCCAATAAAAAAAAGATGAAAATGAAAAGGAAAACTGCTAAAGAAAAAGGAAAACACGTGAATAATTTAGGATAACATGGACTATACGCCACTTTAAAAAGTTTCATTTTTATATAAAATTACAAATAAAATCTAATACTTCGAAAATCATTGTTCCAGATGATATTTGTTTTCCACCAAAAAAAGTATCAACTTCATGATGGCCCAATGTCGTAGGTGTAATTGTTACAACCGTTTCATTATTCTCACTTTTTGTAGTGATCACGACTTCGCCTTTTTTCGACAAAAAGTTTAAAGCCCCACGACCAGCTTTGGAAGTATCAATTAGGAACTTTTTTGTCTGATTTATTTCCCAGTATTGTTGTTTAGGCAAATCTAGAAGATTAGGCACGAACCTTATTTTAAAGAAAAATTAAATTAACAAAAACTTATTTCTTTTCTTCTAAATTTCTTTTTTTCCAAAACATTTTCAGAAAAACACGACGAAGGAAAGACAAGAACTAAAAAATCACGGATCAATTGAATTATATTTTCTTTCTGATTTCTAGCAGAAATTGATGAAAATCAAAATTTCATCTGCGTTAAGATTTCTCTCATTTATCCAGATCAATAAAGGATCTTTTCGTGAAATATTCAAAAAAAAAAATGAAAAAGATAAAAAGAATTAACCTTTAACGATGCATTTTTCAGCATCACCAGTGACTTTCGCATGAAGATAAAATGATTTAGAGATATGACCATTAACAAAAACAGTGATGATGTAAGATCCAGCAACATCTGGTAGATATTCAAGAAAATAAATTCCTCTTTTATCAGTTTCATATAAAAATGAATTACGCAATTTTCCATCAGGACCCTCAAATATTATTTAAAAAAATAAATAAAAGATGAGAAAGATTAGCCAAACTTCAAATCCTGAAAAATTTTAAAACTTCAACAGAGCAATGTAGTACATTGTTCTTTCCGAAAGAAAAAAATTAGAACTTGATAAAATGAACCTTAACTTCGGGAACGACTTTTAATTTCTCAAGCTTCCCAATATTTCTTAAATCAACTGTAAGTTGAGTCGGCAAAGAAGAATCGAAGCTGGATGGTAGAGGACCGCCTAAACTATCAAGCAGAACTATTTGATTAGGATCAAATTTGGGTACAAGAACGAATTTCAAACGCCTAAAAAAAACATGGTTCATTTAAATATAATGCTTTATAAAATTTTAGTTCACTATTCATAAACAATTTATTATGAATTAAAAAATCTGAGTCAGTCATAAAAGGTTATACTGTTATATTATCAGAATGAAGAAGACCAGCATTTTTATTTCGAAATCTTTAATTCTTGCAATAATATTTAATAAACCTCGGTATTTAATATAATATTTAATAATAAAAAGCGATAAGGAACACTGGCCTATTGTGAAGAAGCTGACCATCGTATAACAAATCCAGATTGAGCTCATCCCCAACTTTTCCGCTTGGAATAAATGTAATTCGATAGATGCGTGGTTCAATTTCTTCAACAATTGGTTGCTGGTGCCCAACTTTCAAACAAGCATCCAATGGTTTAGCTGATGTTTTCGATGCATCCACAATAAAACTTGTTGGAGTATCCACTTTTATACGCTCATTCAACTCACTAATAGTAATTTTTGAAGGATCAAAACGATAGTCGGCTACAGCGATGAAAGGTGAACCTATTAATAAAAAAAATCAAAATATGATGGAAGAAAACTTTTCGATCAATATAGCCTTTAAAAAAAATTATAATTCATTGCAGAGTTATTAGATTTTATCTTTTGAGATAAAATAGTAAAAAAGCAATTACCTGGTATTGGATCTTTTTTTTCACCACCAAAGGCGATATGGATTTCATAAAGTCCAGGTGTAAGAGGGATATATTCAACTTTACAAGAACCATTTGAATGATCAGTAATCGATGTTTTTGATTCAGAAGGCCCTTTAATCGCCATTGCTATCGTTCCTTCACCAGCATCCTATAAGTTACCTTTTTCTTTCGCTCTTAAAATACGAAAAATGTTTAAATTCTAGAAAAAAGATAACCTGAGTATCAATATAAAACTCGGCAGTTTCATGAACAAATGCTCGCTCAAGACCATCGCCATAAATACGGCACTTACTGGCATCATGCCCTCGATGTATGACTATTTGATTTTCTCTAACTAAGTTACCATCGAAAAATATTGAAAACTTTGTTTTACCAGGTTTTTGTGCGATCCATGTACCTAAAAAATTAATTAGAGAGAATATAAACATAATTATCTGAGAAAAAATTCCACAGAGCAAAAAGTATACAGTTGCATCTTTTCTTGAAAAATTCATAGTTTTTTTTGAATTTCATTAAAAAGTTTTTGAGCTCTATAAATCACCACTGATGATAAATGTAATTTCAAACGATAAGTCCACCGATTAATCATGCCATATCTGAACAAGCATCATCAAAGGGCAAATAATAAAACAGTGGACCAACTAGTCATCGATGAATAAATATTTCCGGAGAAGAATGGATATACTGGTGACCTAAATTTGAAGTGCTTTTGTGTAACAATTTGTAATATATTTGTGCCAATGAAGAAAAAAAAAAGTTACCAGTGTAAATATTGGGGCGACCCAAGGTAAGTTTTAGCAAATAATTGTGACGACTTCCATCATCTATGATCACTTCCAGTCCATCTTGTTCAGCGACAAGTTCACCAATGTCTATAGCAATGTCTTTTCGATGACCAATAAGCACATTTTCTACAACTTTTTGAAGTTCACAACATTGGTAATTTTTCAATTCAAAAATATAATAGCGAAAATGAAAAAAAAAACCACCAACGAAGTGCTCATATCCATAATTCCTATTAAAAATGAAATGTTTTGTTCTGAAATTAATTAGCCAATTAATAAAAAAAAGACGATGTGAAATGGCATAAAACTGAAGCTGGAAATCAAAACTGAAATTTATTTTAATCGTGATAGCACGTTTTTGATGAACATATTCTTATCACCTAAGATCATATATATATACCATTAATATCATTTAAATACAACTTATGCAATGCATCACCTGATCGAAATTATAATTCGAAATCGAAAACTAACGAAAAAATTCCTGAAATTCATTTTTTCTTATTAATGGAACTTCCCCGACTATTTACCAATTATCAGATATTTATCATCATTGATAATTTATACAGCATAAAAAAATGTTTAGAAGAGTTATCTTTTGTCCTACTATGAGAATGATAGGGTATCTATGTCTTGATCAACCAATTCGTAATAATTAAAACAAATGTGAATATGAAAATAAAACTAAAATTTAATTGAAAATTAAAATTAACGAAATGGAACCAGATACGGAAATTGCCCACAATTAATTTAGGGTAATATAAAGTGAAATAAATTAAAATCTTAGAAGCATCATTCAAATGGGTCCCTCATGGATCTTTCGTAATATTTTGTTCCCATAAGGAAAATTGATATAGCTGAAAAACTAATGACTGTTATTAAAATAACTATGACTAAGTCCGTCTGCTCTCGATCGAAACAATATACAGCAAATGAATTTTATGGTAAAATAGATAAAATCAATATAAAATACACTGTGTTTATTTACCCGCAAATAAATACAAAAAAAAGACAATGTATAGATAACGCACAAATGCATAAAGACTACAGATGTCACAAAGAAATGCAAGAAAATATTTGATAATACTTTATATTAACATGGGCAGTGGACTATTTCCAGTGGCTCATTTATTAACAAAATCCTGATTTTATACAACTGAAGAAAGATGATTAATTTCCAAAAGTAATGCGGATGATATCAGATAACCTGAAGCGCACTGCAAGTTGATGAAGAAGATGGAGTGGATGAGATCGAAGTAGTGGGAGCTGACTCAGCGAGAATCTCAAAAGGACTTCCAGGTACATGGCAATCATCGAACAAAACTCTCAAATAATATACACCAGGAATAAGCGGAACATAGAACATCGAGCAAGTACCATCGTGATTATCGATACACTGAATGGGCGTTTTGGATGGACCATCTACAAAAAGATCGATATTACCAAAGCCTGCTCGAGTAGCATCAATCAAAATGTGCGTCCGTTTTGATACGGTGACAGGGCCAAGACCAGGTCCAGATACGACAACAAGATTTGCTTGTGCAGGCCCCGACGCATTTACAACATATTCAGTTTCAGCAATAACGTCATCATTTGTTAATGCATCATTTAAGAATGGTAAAGAATGTAAATGGAATGGTGATGCTTCAATCGGAATGTCTTGATAGGTAACATCAATCGTATAATCGCCAATTTCGGATGGTGTAAAACGCACGCGAAATCCAGTAAAAGTTGGTTCGATCAGCGCTTCAACAACACGCCCAGATGGACTTCGAATTACTACGCGTGTATTTTCACCATCGACTGTAAAAACATGAACCTCTTTTTCACAGTTCACCGTCACCACTGCTGAAACGATAAAAAATCTATAGTTTTTACACTTTCACAGCAAATGAACGAGTCCTACCACTCGATGCAAGCCACAATGCAGGCACCATTCAGCAAAAGATGTTATAGCAACAATACAATTTCAGTTCATTCTGGAATGCATATAATAAAATTTTTTTTTAAATATCAAGCAGTATATGAAAGAATTAAAAAATTATAAGAAAAAACTACCATTTCTAAGAGATTCATTCTTTTGAATAGCTTTTCTTATCCTATCGATGTAATGAACGAAAATCCAAACGAAACATGCTTGCAAATATAATTTAAATATAATCAACCTAATCCCATCAACAAAATATAAATACCGACTTGCAAATAAGAAAATATCAACAAAATACATGCATTTTATCCAAGTGAGAAGAGTTATCAAGCAGAATCAAGTAAAAAATATTTTCCATTGAATCTACTATAAAAACGATCTCATTCATTTGTTAACTTCATTAAATAATAAATGATAATTGCAAAAAAAACTTTTATATTATAAATTTGATAAGTTTTTTCAATTGTAAATAAGGAAAATGTTATTAATAAAATAATTGAAACAAAAAAAAATTAAACATTTAGAGAATATTAGAATTTCAAAACAGAACAGAAAACTACAACGAATCATTAATAATTTAGAATAAACCTTTTTAAAAATTTTATTTTATTTTATTATTTATTTTTTATATAGAAAATAGAAAAGTATTTTTATTAAAAGTCTCTATGTTATTGACATAGTTTGATGTAATTTGATGTAAAAAATAAATAAAACAAATTGACAAATCCCATGCAAAAAAAAAAAATATACCATTTTCAAGACCTTCAACTCGAATCCCCGAGACATCAATTTGAGGTTTAACATTAATTTCGATCTTTGGAATTTCCACACCAGCAAATATTATATTTAGCTAGAAATTTTATGCTTAATTCGTGATAAATTTTCTCAAAATCCATTACTGCTTTCTTAGATGGTAAAATTTATTTAAAACCGAACATCAAAAAATTGATATTAAATATTTAAATATGCATTAAGAAAAACTTCACCAATAATAAAATTTATCAAAAGAAATTTTCCTTAAAATAAGCAAGATTTGAAAATAAAAACCTGATATGAGCCGGGTCGCGGAGCAGTATATTTTACGGTAAATGAGCCATCATCATTATCCAAGACATCAAGATTAACAGCAGGCCCTTCTCGATCACATAATGACACTTCTATTTCACCAGGCCCAGCTCCTTTGGCATCAATGAAGAAATGCGTTGGTTGTTGACACCTGACATCAGGCCCTATTCCTGGCCCAAAAACATGAATTTTTTCTGTATCCAATACTCTTACCTAAATTTTTTTAACAATCGAAAAATAGATTACGACAGAATTAAAAAAAAATGCTTTCAGATCTAAGTTATTTCATATATAATTAAAACTTAAAATTAAAATTAAATTAAAATATGTCGGTAATTTCAGCTTTCATTAAAAAATTCTTAAAAACAATTTTCAGCCAAAAAAATCTACTCTAAAAAGCAGAAAAAAAGGAAAAAAACTATCATTGCTATAACACTTGTGAGTGTCAATTTCTCGTTTTTTACCACGACATCTGGTTCACTGGTGTGTATTGGCTTCTCTATTTGGATGGGGAAGCCCTGCAGGAATTTGGCCCATTCACCGTGATTTACTATCGAATCTTCGGTCTTGGCCCAGTCCATATACTATAGTAATACCTATAGCGTCAGTTAATTGGCTGTCTTGTGCTATCTTACACCCTGCCATTATGTGTTAAGCACTTTCTGAGGCCTTTTTACAATCTTCACCTTGAGTTCTGTCATAAGTCGAATCTGATGCTGTTTCGAATCTGGTGCTTGGTTCCTGTTCATGTTCTATCATGATTAATGAATGCCTCAGCTGCCTTTTAGACCAGCTTTGTCCAATCACTAGTAGGATTTCTCAATGTCAGCTACCTCAGCTATCTATCGATTTGAAAATCCCTTCCTCATACCTGTGAGTGGTAAAAACCATCCTCAACCTCGGGTTCTCTACCAGAGACCTGGGAAAGTGATGGTTCTACATAGTATCTTACACAGTTCCTAGTAGCGCGCTCTTCTGGATAGAAATCTCTGATGCTGTTCCTGGAGCTAAATTACACTTCCAAGCGCTTATCACTGAAATTATGGCCTTTTCTCTAGTTCCTCTTTCGGACCCTGGTATTTTCTCATATTCTTTCTTTCTTTATTATCGGTGTTGATTTCTGATTTTTATCTATTCACAAAAAATTTGGCTGATACTTACTTGTCTAGATGGAGTTCTATAGGAACTTCCCCTTATAATTCTTCATTAATTTTCACATCTAATCTAGGGAATGTCTAAGCCATATTACTTGGTTGATTGAAATTTATATAAAAATTTCAATAATCTATTATATGATCTATTACAGCATAATTTATTACATTATATTTAAATAAATCTATAATAATCTATTACAGCATAATTTATTCTTAATTTTTTCTTTACTTCATATATATGAGGTATTTTTTTATAATATTAGAATATTAACCATGAAAGGAGTATTTTCAACGGCGATATTTCCTACAGCTGCACTAATATAATGCCGACCAGATGTCTCTGGAGTAAACTTATATGAATAAATTCCTGGCTCGAGTTTCGAAACATCGACAGGCACAAAGTTATAACAACTATCTAATACTTTTACGACCGGTTCCAAACCAACATCTAAAATCAAAATAGTATACGAAAAAAGATGTAAAACTCCTTTATTAGCCCTTTAACACTTCTAATAAAAATTCGATCTTTCAGCAAAATCTCTTGAAACAGACGACTGGATTTAAAGCAAAATTAGCAAGCCTAAAAAAAATGTGGAAACATATATTATGTAGCCATTAAGCAAATTGAGATTGAAAAAAAACATATACCCACCTTCATTTTTACGAGTATTAACTGTGAAATGTACTGGCCTCCCTTTTGCCAAAGACGTCGAAGGATGAATGCCGTCAAGATATGCCGTTTGTAGAAACGGTAAATTTTTGGATTCTACTGAATCGATCATAACAATAAAGGGTGAACCTTTTATATGCTGGCCGTGTGTTAAAATATTAAGAGAGTAAATCCCTTCTACTTCAGGCTGAAAAAAATGATGGATCACAAAACTCACAAACAGCAATAATAGTAGTTAATTAGAGTAGCAATTATACCGAGAATATTGAAAGAAAAAAATATCTATAAAAAATAAAATCAATACAATATATTGAAGAATTGCCGAACCGTCACCGTTATCTTTAGTTATAACTTCCGTCTTTGCAGGCCCTTCAATGGAGAAACCTTAAACCAGATTAAATACTAATAACTCCACGAATTAAATGCAGAAAAAAAATAAACTTTAGATGAGAAAATAAAAAGAAATAAAACGAAAAAAAAGAAATAAAGAAATAAAGAGATGAGGGAACAAAATATTATTTTAAACTAACTTAGCTGATCCGTTTCACCGTTAGTCTGAACGAAAAAGACTGCCGGCAGTGTAGCGATTCCTCCTTCTAAGCCTGGCCCGAAAGCATATGCAGATGATTTTGAAGAACCACCAACTGACACCTAAAATAAGTCGATTAAATATTGATAGAGTAAATGACTGGACAAAACTGCGTCATTTGGTAACAGAACAATTAGAGATGGATAAATAATAATGATGATGATAGATGCAATAAATAAATAAATACAAAATAACACAAATAACACAATGAACAGATCTGCGCTTCTATGTTTCGGTAATAATTATTGTCAATCGATTTATATAAATTGAAGTGCTGGATGACTGCATTTTTCCTACGGCAGTAATCTATAAAAATCTAATCCGTAAATCAATTAAATTATGATAATATAAAAATAATACGATAATACTTTGTAAGGGCTCATTCCAATATGTTCATCAGCATATTTCACTTCTACCATGTAAATGCCTTCCACTGTTGGTACATATCGAAACTGATGGTGCAATTTCGTTTCATCGACTGAGTGGCTCACAGGCAATGAACAATTAGCTAGAAGTAAAAAAAAATCACAAAATCCAAGAGGAAAAAAAACTGCTTGAAAAATTTCTTAACAATATAAATTCCAAAATACCAAATTTGGCCAAAAATTTTTGACGAAATGTTAAAATTTTAATAAAAAACTAACATGGCGGAAAAACGCGAACAGAAAGGGGAAGTTTGCCACTCTCAGTCGCATCCGCGTGAATAATTACCTCATCACCCACTCGAATACCTTCCTCCATTAAACCTCGGCCCCACACATTGAATAACGCTGGAAATCTAAAGGTTAGAAAAAAAAAAACTATTCGCAAAAGTCTAATAAAATTACTTTCACTTGCATAATTCAGAAAAATTACCTAGTGATTCGACATCCAACTGAAATGGGCTACCAGCAATATGATGTTTATTTTGAAAAACATTTATATGATGGACACCGACACGCCGTGGAACAAATTCCGTCCGATGAGTTGAACCCATTAGAACAATGGGCAGAATGATTTCTTGACCTCTAGGATCTTCCACCATTATCTAAATATAACGATAAAATTTTACACTCGAAAACACTTGCCAAAATATATGAATAAGTAAAACATTTTTTGTGTTTTTTTGCAAAGAAAAATACTATAAAAACTGAAAAGAAAAACTATTAACTGATGAAATCTTTTGATTAACACGAACCTCGATGGCATTGTGATTGGTATTGTCAACTTCAATCTCCACCTTTTCCCCAATATGAACATGATTATTGTATACTATGCGAGCACCCTCGCTAGCCTGCGCTTTCATCGCATTCAAATAGAAAGAATTGCCAGAAGATAATTCACGTAAGGAAATCCGTATCTTCAATTTTACCATAGTAAATCATTGATCTTTTACAAATGGTCACTGATAAACAATTAACGTTGCATGAACAATAAAAAACAAAGAATTTCTCAAACTATGCAAGATTTAAAAATTCCAGCCGCAAAATCTGCTAAAGAGAACAGCATAATTCGCAAATCAAAAGCCACGGACTTCGTAATATTTTTCTACAAAAGATTAAATGACCAGAGAAACCATTCCCTAATGTCGCTTGTCTGTCCCCTTAATCTATCGAGAGTACCTCTATATAAAGATCAATATTAGTATATTCTGTGTATTATAGTTTTAGGTTAGTTTAGTGATTTTCCTTATTTTTCAATAAACCAGCATATAATATCAAACCAATTCAATATTTCCATATATTTATTAAATCCTATTTTTTATCATTATTATTAATGGTGTTAAATTACTACAATATACCACTATAGCGAAAAAATTATAATAGTGTATTAGATCCTCAAAGCTTGTAACAATAAGTTCCAGACCTAAAATATACACTTTTGTCGAAAGGTTAATATGTACAATAAATTTTGCAAACATTTTTTTTTTGTAATACTAAAAAAATAAATATCATACGTTATAATCGCCAGCTTCTTCTGGATGATAGGTTATATCATGAGTGGTTAAAGTAGGTTTATTCACGTTATAAACAACTGGAGCATGAGACGGCCCAATTATTGAAATGTCGGGAACAACTGAAGAGTCTACAGTCTCGACCGAAATTTTCGTTGATCGTCCCACGACTGGTGATGCATCGAACAGGACTACGCGACCTAGAGGTGCTCGATATCTGGCTTGAGGGAACTGAGATAAATAAGTCATTACACTTTTTTCGTCAACAGCTGGACTAATCAATTCTTCAGGAGTTAAAAGCTGAAACAATAAATTATAAACTTCACAAAACTTATTTCAATATCATTAAAACCGAAATAGATGTAAAATTCCTGTAAAACTTCTTTATTTAATGCAAATAAGAGAAAATTTAAAAAATAATAGGAAACTTAAATAAAAGAAAAATCACCGGTGTAATATTAAGATAATCATTGGCTAATTGCATAGCATTTCGCGTAGATTGAAGAGCTTCAGTTGGAATCCAAGTCTGCCAGTCAAGTTCGAGATCAGGAGCACAAGCGCTGACCTCAAATTCTCTAATTTTCATAAAAATATTGGGAATAAAAAAAGAAACTGACAAGTCTAAACAAGTCTGAACAACCCAAAACATAAAAATTTTAAATCGCTTTAACCATTCTCTAAATTTCTTTATTTCTCAAAGATCTTTTCTAAACAAAACTTTTCAACACAAAAGAAATCAACTTACTAATGCACCGAGCAAAACACCATCGTTCCAGTCTGATGTGAAATTGTTCAAGGGTAATCCAAGTGGTAATTTCCTCTTAATCCAAGCCATAAGCTTTTGTTTCGGAGTTCGTTCAACTTCTTCTTCGCCACTTATTCGCTCATCCCAAATTTGCTTCGAAATTGAATAATGTAAGATTAATTTCCATACCAAACCCAGAATCAATTTCAAATTTCTATCCACGATCGCAGAACTATCTTTAAGAAACATTTTTGATTAGCTAGTAATAAGTTTAATATTTAGCATCAATTTAGTAACAGCATTTCACATTTCATGTTTACGACTGAAAGATATCATATAATCACAACCTTATTATTAGGACATAATGTTTTTAAATGCTACTCACTCAATCCCAATTTATGCATTTAAATATGTAAAGCCTTTGGTTTACTTGTTTGTTTCTGTATTTTTCCAAATTCACTGTTGTTATTATTGTTATATATTATCGCTACAATAAGTTTTAAATAATTTTGGGACATCTGAAGATAATTTTTTACTTATAACAATTTTTTACTTATAATAATAACAACAATTTAGATAAAAAATAAAATTATCTGACCGACGTTAACAATTTTGATTTTTTCTTCTTCTTCCAAAAATTTGAGAGCGAGTGAGACATTTTCAAGCTTTTGCGAACGAAATGCTACTCGCTTACTATAGCGTCCAATTCGTTTACCAGACAACACTTCAATCAATTTGATCAATTTCAACCCTTCTTCGAAATCGGTTTCCTACAGAATTAAAACTAAATCAAATAAATAGAAAAAGAAATGTGATTTAAATGTGAAATAAAACATTGAAAATAGCATTTATTATTTTATTTACCAATATATTTAATAGATGATAAATTTTCAAACACCATGATCAAGCACTGCTATTCTCCTAACAGCAAAAATTTGTAATTTGAACTTCCTCGATTGAACTTCCTCCACTGAATTCTTACTGCATCAAAGCATTATTCGAATTTAATTAGCGAGAAAATTTCAACATGCAAAAGCATGCAAAAACTGGCGTTTTATAGCTTTTATTCTTTATCGTAAATAGAGAACGCTAACATCCGAAAATCGCTTCAAATATCAGCTACATTTGTTCTATTGACTTTACACCACTTTCGACTTGGAGCCATGGAAGATGATGGAATGTCCCAAAGAAGATCAACTGACTCATTTTTACCAGCGTTGATCATCATAAAACTGAATGTGGAAATAATGCACCCTTTTGCAATAAGAACTCGTATAGGTCAACGGCTTTTATACATCGTGCATTTTGCCTGCCAACATGCAAGACGTGTGGAAAACAGTTCAATCAAATTTTTAAGCCTTTTTAGTAATGTAATAGTTATAAAGTTATACAATAGATGCTCGATCGACTGTAGAACGTGGGTCTCTGAATCAATACAATACAATAAGACGAAAAACTCTCATTTAACGTACCAGATGCCAATATATTTTTCTTAACTCACCAAAGTTTGAAGATAAGACAAAGTAAATATCTTCTCTTATATCAAATAGATAGTCGAGAAAAGATAATCGCAACTAGAAATGTTTTTTTTATGTTTTTTTTCTTGCGACATCTTTGTGGAATCACCGTATGATCGATAACAAAAGAAAAGTCCATATCTATTCGTTTATAACCCTGTTAAATGAATAGAAGATATCAGAAAATTTGATCATTATTGCCTAAGATACACCTTTACGCGCCCGACGAGTGAACCTCACAAAGTTCCATCATCATCGATTGGATACATCAATATCATTAAAGAACATCACTGGTTAAGTCATTTTTTTCGCTTCCCATCACAGGAATTGACGCATATTTCACTAATTGTTAAGGTCTTGTTAAGGTATATAGCTTTTAATCTATTTGGCTTAATACTGAAACAAATAAATAATAAATAAATAAATATGGTTACTAGATGGATGGCAGCAAAAGTGAGATGAACCAATCAACTGATTGACTGATAAAGTGAGGATATATTTTTAAAATATATATAATTTGTAATTTGTAAATATATAAAATATATATACAGGTTAGCATATATATTTTAAATTTTAATTTTAAATGCAATAATTATGACTTATATAAAATAATACTTCTTTATTCTCATCACTAAAAAGTTTAGAAACTTTTTTCGCTGTCCTTTTATCCTTTTTTAAAATGAGTACATAGCCTTTACATACCTTGATCGGTTCAATATTCAATATTCAGAAATAAGTAAATTTCTAACAGCTTTCACCATTATTAGTTAGGCTGACTTCGCTGACTAGAAGCATCATTTCCAAGTTGCACGATGTGATGCCATCGCTGATAATGATATTCCTTGCCTTTTCTTTCTTTCTTTTCACTCCTTTCCTTCCTTTTTTCCTTTTTTTCATTCCTTTTTTCACGGTATAAGTCCATATATCGCTACCCCTCTATACGTTCAAAATCTTTTTTGACTGCTGTATCAATCCAGGTCCTGGCCCTCCTCGCTTCTGATGCCAGAGTTCGGCAAGTAGCGAAATATGCTTCAACTTCTGTGATTTTGGGAAGATTTATAGCTCTATCAAGATTTATTCGTTTATTCTCTATTCGTCAACAGGAAAAACGCAATTCTAACTGCTCTTATCTGAGAAATTTCCTTTATCTGGCTATTCGGTACAATGGATGGATTTCAACACATTCTTGTATGCAAGACGAAAACGCTGAAAACTTTTATTTATGTTGATTTAATGCAGTTTGGCGTTATTTGCACCTCATCACAAGCATCAGCAAAAAGGACTGCGTATTGAAGATCTGTGATACGATGCTCCGGACTGATCTGTACATCTCTTGGATGCCGATATCCATTGTCCAGTCTATGGTGCAGTTGAATATTGTAGGGAAAAGGACAGTATCTTATTAGATACCAGTTCTTATTTCGAAAAAAGCTGTCAACTCCCCATATACATAGATCTGTATTGATGTAAACTGATAAAACTGATAATCGCCTTTATGAGGCGACTGATTTTCTCTGGAGCACAGTCGTATTCCACCACTCCCCAAAGCGCCATCATACCAATTGAATCAAAGTGGCTGGAAAATCATGAAACACATAACAGTGGATTACTGCAGATATCGAAGCATGTTCCTTTCCTAATATGAATATCTGGTCAGTACAATCATGTCTAAATCCAGCTTAATTACGACTGCTGTCTCGTACTACTGTTGGTTTATTCAGCAAAAATAAGCAAAAATTTTCGCGTCAATAGGCTGACTCCTCAATAATTGTCACAGTATGTCCTGTTACCTTTCTTGGGAATTGGGAGCAGAATCGCTTTGCTTCAGTCATCTGTTAGTATTTCTTTCATCCATACCACAGAGAATTTGTTGAAAGCATGTTATGAAGGATGATGGACAATATTTGGACAGTTCAGCTCGGATAACATCTTGTACCGAAATTTTATTGACCTTGAGCTTATGAATAACATAGATTATTTTCTCTTCTGTTGGCGGTTTCCAGTTGCAAACATATGGCTCGACGAGCGAATCAGCTATGTTCGGATTAAATTTGGCCTCAAAGAATTCCTTCCAAGGAGATTCTTTCTTTACAAGGAGATCCTTAATATTCTCAACAGGCATACCAGTGCTATCCTGTACCATTTCACTGGCTTTTCCTCGAGGCAGAATAGTTTCCTGTTATCGTCTAATCGAGCCGTTGTCTCCATTTCTAAGGCCATATCACTCCAATAATAATTTCTGACCCGCTGAACTGCTGTTGTTATATTCGAAACATCCAGAAATCAGGATCTCCTGACATTCATACTATGGCAGCTTTTCCGGATATGGATAATTCTGATACCCAAAGCATACTTCTTATTAGTATGCCCTATCGTGGAATTGGTTGATTTTTGGAGAAATTTCTCTAAAATTCCTTCAGACTCATCTATCAGTCTAGAAAAATTATGGTGCCGTTTCTTGAGAGTTTCAATTTAATGCTAATTATAGTTCGAACAACATGGCCAGATCCATGAAAGTTTAACTATGGCGATTGACTAAAATAATCAATCTAGTTGGAAGTATATTTTAGTATTAGTAATGAAGAACTCATGCTATTCGGCGAAGCGAAGGTGTTTTCCAATGACACAGCGGATTCCGATGTCATACTTGCCAACTACCAAGTTCATCGTGGTGGCATAGTGACCAACGATCACATTCCAGTTTCCCTTGACCATGTCACCTCTCGGTAGAGATGTTGCTAATAGTTGAAGTTCTGCATAAAATTGTGGCCATCTGTGCTTAAAGGTGCATATACATTGACTGAAATATTGCAGAACTTTCCATTGAAGCACGCATAGGTCATACCGTCGTTTAATGGCTTCCACTCAATCAGAGAGTTTTTCAAATATTACAACAGCTACACCATTTCACCTTGAATTATCCGAGACACAATGATATAGCCAGTACATTCGTTCGAAGCCAGTTTTAGTAATTACTTGAGTCTTGAAATGAGGAAGACGGACTGACTGACAGGACTGACCTCCGACAAACACGTCACACGATATTTAGAAGGAGTGTGGACAATGATCGATTGGCTTGCAACGCCCATAAGCTCTGACGTCCCACCCTGATATGGCTGATACTTCGCCACTCGTACAGAGAAGTGTTCCCCTTGACAGGTTTCGAATAATTACTTTTGCGAGCACATTTTATCAACCTTGGAATCGTTCTATGCCCAGATTGTATAGTTACAGCATGTACCACTGGACTGGGAATATTATGCGAATAAGAGGACAAGAGATTCTAAATAATCGATGATTATTTTTTTTTATCCTAACAGAGCAATTGGAAGAACTGACCGCTTACAAAACGGACCAGAAAAATAAGTAAACACAAGCTTTGATGAAAAAAAAGTATTTATATTATATTAATTTTAATAATGAATTGAATTAAGCAGTTTTGAAATGCTTTATCCTTATAACTGCCAATTTAATTAGTAATAATGCGACGTTTTAGAAGAATCATAAATAGTTTAAACTGAAAGAAAAAAAACTGACGAGATCGTCAATGACAACATCAACACATTTCAATTGCTTATTGACCCAACGAGTAAACGTATTTTGCTGAATCCTTTTCCATGATGCATTCGGCTGAAGTTTGTCCATAACTAACTGAAATTTGAAAAATAGATGAAGAAAAATCAAACTGGACACATTAGTGTTAACCCAGACCAGTAGTACAGTAAAATAAAAATTGGCGATAACTGATAACTAACTTTTATTATACTGATTATTTTCGGAATAAAAATGCTAAAATTAAAAAAAAAGAGTGAAATATTTGATTATTTATTACACGACGTCAGCAAAAAATTTGTTCTTAAAACAAATTTTCACCATTAGCTAATCCACTACATCCACTCGCACACTCACTTAAGTTCTCCAAATAACAGAATAATGATGAATGGTGATAATTGTGCAACACTAATTCTTTTTAAATGAAGTAATAAAATGAAGAATTGCCCGTAAAAATATCGTTCAAATGACTTTTAGCATTAAGAGAATAATTAAATAGATCTCTATTTTCTATTCTATTCTATTTTCTTATGCCAAAATTATAAAGTAAAATTGTAATGATTTCTCAGTTTTTTCAGAAATTTTTACAATATTTTCAAAACAATCATTATTATACTAAACACCTTCGTAATTCATTAATAACTTATAACAGTAAATTAATTTTAAAGAAAAAAGTTTTACTATCGAAAAAATTTAGAGAAAAAATCCCGAAAATTTTTCTATAATTTTCTAACATGTTATTAAGCAGTTTTCAGGCTGAAATATTTATTAAAAATATTTCTATCTGCCAGTGCTTGTTGCAAATGTCAAGATGTGGATGGATCCAGTCAGG